ATAGTACCTTAATAAAGGTTTTTTTTTTTTTTTTCCCTTGTTATTAAGCTTGGGCCTGCTTTGCTCTGTTCTCAATCGCATTTCACAGCATTCAATTGAGAAATTGTATTTTCATGGGGATTCTGGCATTGTGCCAGTGTCAAACCATGACATGGGGTCAGTGCAGTGACCATGGCAAGAGTCCCTTGCAATGGCCCAGTGCAGGTTGGGCTGATGATCCACCCTCACAGCTGGCCCAGGGCAGATCTGGAGTGGTCTTGGAGGCACCTTGGGCTTGACACAAAATTGAGGAGGGTGTCTGTTTTCAATGGGGAAACTCAGGAGTTTCATTTGCTACAAATAGTAAAGAAGGAAAAGCCCTCTTTGCCTGAATGCAACCAGTTCTCCAAGCAAAGCAGGTCCCAGGTGGGTGAGGAGAGACAGGATAGGGATGGGGAATGTGGAACAAGGTTGTCCATTGTGAAAAACACCAATCGCTTGTTTTCAGAGTTTTTAAAAGTTTATTAATAATAATATGGGTATTAAAATAGTAATACAATTAGAGTAATAAAATTTCAAACTAGGACAATAGAAAGACAATAAAAACCAAAGAATTACAGACTCTGGATGCTCTTGGGCACTTAAACCACAACAAAAATGCCTTGTGAACAAAAGAACCACCCTTCAAACAATACACTGTTGCATATTCATATATACTTCACTGTTATGCATACATTCTATTTAAAACAAGAACCTCTGCCTGTTATGTGCCAACTGCTTTTTTCAATCCCCATGGTGTCTTTGAATCTGAGCAAGGCCTGAACAAATTAGCTTTTTCTGATAAGAAAACCATAAATTCCTCTTCTCCGGAAGATTTATGTATTCGGTGACTGTTACCTCCAAGCAAGTGTCTCATTCCTTTAAAAAAAAAAAAACATTGACAAAGTTTTTATTTTTACTACTAAAGCTTCATTTTAACTATAAAACTACATTTACAATACTATTAAAATGTTAATACAGCACAATTAATCAATATAACATAACACATATAGTAAATATCTGCATAGAGCAATATAATATGCATTTTTCACATCCATGTTGGGTCAGACCTCCAGGCACTTCTGGAGGTCTGTATTTCACTGTTCAGCTCTTCTGAACAGGCCAGACCTGCTCAGGAGAGTCCCCGGATCAATATCAGTCACTGAATGCTGTAATCCCCTCTTGTGTAATAAGAACAGCAATAAAAGACACCCTTTAAAACAGGAATACATATTTCCAAGAAGCTCTTTGAAATATCACTTCATAAATATTGTAGAAAACCTTCTTAATGAATGGCACTAGAGCAGAGAGAAATCAAGGCAGAGCCATGGTTTGTGAGGACTTGCTTGATCCTAATGAGCCCCGTGGTGCATTTGGAGCTGAGCCCTGGAACCTCAGGGCCTGAGAGGAGATGGCACAAGCCTTTCCAGGAGTCAAAGTCACAGGAAAAACCCAGAGTGTCTCAAGGCATTAATGGGTCCCACTGAGGATTATCCCCTACACAGGCTCCTCATGGACTCCTTGTAGAAGAGAATTGGAGCCAAGGATGGCACAAAAACCTCTGAGAGACTCAGCGTGGAAAGGAAATTCCAAAGTACCTTCAAGACCTTGAGTATCTCAAAGCATTAATGAGCCCGACTGAGCATCAGTACCAAGCTCTCAAAGGACTCATTTAAGCTAATTGTGGTCATAAAGATAACTGGGGCCACGATTGCACAAACCTCTCACAGAGTCTGTATCAGAAGGGAAACAGCAAGTACCCTAAAATAACTGAAGTACCTTAAAGCATTAATGTACCCCACTAAGTGTTGATACTGACAAAGCCTCTCCAGGGACTTATTACAGCAGCTAATTGGAGGCCATGATTGAACAAACCTCTCAGAGTCTCCAAGGCAAAAGCAAACCCCAAAGTCCTTCGAAAAACCTGCAGTCTCTGGGAGCATTAAAGGAGCCCCCAGGGCCATTCCTGACCAAGGCTCCCCAGGGACTCTTTCCAGCAGATCCTTGAGGCCACTGGGATGTGGGCTAGGGGGAGATGCTGAGGGCAGGATAAGGAGATGACAGTGCCCAGCTTGGCTGGGGCTGTGCCAGGAGGCCCCAGGGCCTCAGGACAAGGTGTCTCCTCACAGCCCTTGGTGGCACAGACCCTGCTGTGCCCCAGGGCACCAAGACTTGGCTTCTCTTTGTCCCCACCTGTCATCACTGCCTCCAGTTCTCTGCTCTGGCTGAGGCCTGGAGACACTTTCTCATTTGTGTCCCTCATTCAGACTCATTGAAAGTCAAAGAAATTTTGGAGTTGGATTCTGACTTGGAGTTCTTGAGAGGTTTTTTCAGCTCCGTCTTAGGGACTGATGCTCAGGGCCTGAGCACAAATCCCCAGAGGGTCATTAAAGTCCTTGTGCTGTGTCTGTGCTGCTGAGCTGGGCCAGGCTCCTGGCACAGAGGCAGGTCCTGGCAAAGGCAGCATTGGAGAGAGACAACTCTAGACAGGAGCAGCTCCTGTGCACAGCTCAGCAGGGTGGGGGCACGGCCTGCAGCCACCCCAGGCACAGCACAGAGGCACAGAGAGCTTCAATCAATCAGGGCTGGGAAGGGACTGAGAAGTGGTAGAATCACTGCCAGCCCTTGACACAGGAACCTCTGGCTGCAGGACAATGCAGCTGCAGCTCCTGGAGTGATCTCCTGCAGCTGGAACATCCCAATGCCCACAGACTCTGAGAGTACATTCTCTGATTATCTCTTGTGCAGAGTGGCCGGGGTGCCCAGGGCTGTCATGCAGAGCAGGGCTCTGCAGCCCGGGGCGCTGTGCTGGGGCAGGGGCTCTGCTGCCTGCCAGGGACAGCTCTCATCTAGCCCTGGCTGCTTCTCACAGCACTGGGTGACAGGATCTGGCTGGAAGGAGACAGCTGGTAAGGCCTGGAAGTGTTCTCCCTGTGTGGTGGGGATGCTGCATTGTTCAGGACTGCTCCCAGCATGGCATTGAACTGCAGAACATTTCCAAGGAGATTATACAGGGAGAACAGCAAGGCATGGGCTGCATAAAAGGGAAAATCCTGATTTTTGAATCTACTGCTCTGGGTTGCCTGGATGAGAACTTGCACATAGAAATTAATCTCAGTTCAGGTGGAGAGAAATAAAACAGTTTTCTCTCAGATCTGAAAAAACCAGGCAGTGACCGATGTTATGAACGAGCACAATAGGCTTTCCAATCCAATTAAAAAGATTTATTAATGGTAGGAAACGAAAGCAAATCAGCGCTGGGTGGCAGTTATTCCAACTACCGCACTTCGTCCCCCGTTCCCCCCCAACTTATTGGGTCTTCTCTTCCGGATGTGTGACGTTCTGGTGTCTTTTCTGCGCAGGTGCACCCTGTTGCTAGGTGGTCGTTTTCTGCCTCTTGGTGGTCGTGGGATGAAGGCCAGTAGTCTTCCTCAAGGTTGTGATCTGGGAATCCTCTCAAAACAAGAAATGTTATCTCTAGGCACGTTTACTTGCATTCCACAAGAGTACATGTTTTTCTAAGTCTGTAACGGAACTGTCCTTGAAAGATATTCGCTTAGGTGCTTAGGTGCCTAGCAACATTAACCCCCTAAATCAGTTTCAACTCCCTAAAACAGTTTGTAACGGAATTGTCCTTGAGAGATACCCACTGGAATGCCTGGCAAAATGAGAACATATTCAGACAAGTGAAAACTCTAAGTAAAATTCTATTTTATGGATGTAAAAACTCTATATTATGAACAAAAAGGCCTTATTTTCCTAACAACCGACATCAGCAAAGAGCCACTTAGAGGCAACATCTCTGTTGCTTTTCCAGCCTGCTCAGAGTTGCTCTGATGTTGCCATCAAAGCCTGCAGAGCCAGAGCTACTCCTGGAAAGTGCATGAGCTGGGAAGGGTCTGCAGAGCAGAGCTGAGCTGCCAGGGCTGGGCTGGGCTCTGGCAGCTCTGGCAGGGCCCAGCCCTGGGCACAGGGAAGCAGCTGCTGGCAGGGACAGCTCCCAGCAGCAGAGCCCTGGGCAGGCAGTGGGGGCAAAGTGCCCCCAAGATGTGCTGGGATATTTTAAGTCCTCTCCGAACCCACCTATTCCAAGATTACTTTTTTTTAACAGATCCCCATGTCAAGACAGCACAAATGTCCATCAGCAGCTCCATCAGCCGCTTCCTCCTGCCAGCACTGGCAGATATGTGGCAGCTGCAGCTCCTGCACTTCTGCTTCTTCCTGGGCATCTCCCTGGCTGCCCTCCTGAGCAACGGCCTCATCATCAGCGCCGTAGCCTGCGGCCACCACCTGCACACGCCCATGTTCTTCTTCCTTCTCAGCCTGGCCCTCAGTGACCTGGCTTCCATCTGTACCACTGTCCTATCTCTAATAAGCATTAGATGAGCTGCCTCGAGTCTTCCTTTTACAATGTCTATGATTTTATTAAAAATGCAAGGTCTGAAGGTTAAGCCTAGTAACAAAAATATCACGGGACCTGCAATCCCCATTATAACGTATTTCTCCTTGTGTGCCATACAAGGGAGTTTTGCACCCCTCACGGTACAATGAGACCTTAAAAAATTTATTTGAATGGGTGACAGCCCAGGCAGTTGCTATGGTTTAACAGCCCCAGTACCCACACAGATATTCCCCAGGATAATTACAATTCACAGGGATAACTGGCTTGTGGCGGCCAAGCGTTCATAGCGACGTCGCTTTTTGATCCTTCGATGTCGGCTCTTCCTATCATTGTGAAGCAGAATTCACCAAGCGTTGGATTGTTCACCCTCTAATAGGGAACATGAGCTGGGTTTAGACCGTCGTGAGACAGGTTAGTTTTAACCTACTGATGATGTGTTGTTGCAATAGTAATCCTGCTCAGTACGAAAGGAACCGCAGGTTCAGACCCCTGGTGCATGCACTTGGCTGAGGAGCCACTGGCGCGAGGCTACCATCTGCGGGCTTATGACTGAACGCCTCTAAGTCAGAATCCCGCCTAGACGTAGCGATACCGCAGCGCTGCCGGCGCCTCGGTGGGCTCGCGATAGCCGGCCGCCCGCCCCGCCCCGGGGCGGGCCCGGTGCGCAGCGCCGCTCGTGGTTGGGAGCGAAGGGGCAGACGGATGCAGCGCTGCCTCTCCCCCGTCGCGTACCGCATGATTGTGGGGCACCCGGCACTAAATCATTCGTAGACGATCTGATTCTGGGTCAGGGTTTCGTACGTAGCAGAGCAGCTCCCTCGCTGCGATCTATTGAGAATCAGCCCTCGACACAAGCTCTTGTCGCTCTTCTCCTCCTCTCGAAGGAGCGGGGCCAGCCCCGCAGCGGGGCCGCGCTCGCGCCCTCCTCCATTCCCGTCTTTCCCCCCCCCACCCGGCCCTCCTTCGAGGGGCGGTGTTGGGGCGGGGGGGGGTCTCTCTCGGCAGGCCGGGGCCGACAGGGGGCCCCGGTTGCTGGGGGCGCGCGCGAGCGCCCCCCGCTAGCGCGGTCCGCCTCGGCGCTCCCCTCCGCGCGGGTCCCAGGCCCGGCACGCAGAGTCCCGGGGGCCCGGGCACACACACGCGCACAGACCGAGCGCAAACAGGGGCCGCGTGCCGCCGGCGGCGCGCTCCGGGCGCGCGAGAGAGAGGCGCCCTCTCCCCTCGCCGGGGGGGGGAGGGGGGCCGCGCTCGTGAGGCCTCGACTTCCCTCCGCGCGGGTCCCAGGCCCGAGACGCGGGGCGGGGGCTTGGCCGCGCGGGCGGCGGTGGCGGCAGCAACGGCGGGTTTCCCCTCCCACCGCGCTGGGATGCGGTGGGTGCGGAGAAGCCCGTTGGCTGCCGTCTCCGGGCGTGGGGGTAGACCTGTTGCCATTGTGCGATGGGCCCTGTGCGGCGGGGCGGCTGCGCGTCACACCCGCAGCGGCGGCGGCAGCAGCGGCGGCAGCGGGCAGCCGGGAGGGCGAGGGATCGCACGCGGCGGCACGGCCAGCTCTCGCCCTTTCCCGGCCAGCTGCCGGGTAGACCGGGTCCCCGAAGTGGACTTGGTTTGCCTGGCGCGCCAGGGCGGGGGGAGAGAGAAAGAGAGAGAGAGAGGGACGGAGCTGGTCCGTCCCTCTGCCGGCGCCGGAGCAGACCCGATGTCGTCTAAGGCCGGCCTTAGCCTACCGCCACCAAGCTCTTGCACTCAGCCGCGCACCTGGGCCGGACTTGGTCCTCCGGCCGCTCGGCTAGGCGGCAAACCTGCTGTCCCGGTCGCCGGACGTGGTCCTGGCGAGGCCAAGCGCCGGGCTAGGCTGGCACGACTGGATGCCAGGTAGACCTGATGACCTGGCGGCGGACTTAGGCCTCCAGCCGCCCGGCACTGGCGTAGACCTGTTGCACCCAAGCCCCGGAGTAGACCAAGCGTCCTGCCGCCGCCAGGGTAGACCTGTTACACCCAAGCCCCGGGGAACACCTGGTCTCCTGCACCAGGGGTAGACCTGTTGCACCCAAGCCCCGGGGTCGACCAGGCATCCTGCACCCAGAGTAGACCTGTTGCACCCAAGCCCCAGGGTAGACCGGGGGTCCTGCCGCCGCCAGGATAGACCTGTTACACCCAAGCCCCGGGTAAGACCTGGTCTCCTGCACCGGGGGTAGACCTGTTGCACCCAAGCCCCGGGGTAGACTAGTTGTCCTTCCTCCGGGGTAGACCTGTTGCACCCAAGCCCCGAGGAAGACCTGGCTGCCTGCACCTGGGGTAGACCTGTTGCACCCAAGCCCCTGGGTCGACCGGGCGTCCTGCCGCCAGGGTAGACCTGTGTCACCCAAGCCCCGGGGTAGACCTGTTGTCCCGGTGCCGGACGTCTCCTCCAGCCCCCGGGTTTAACGCGTGTGCCTGCGCCGGGCTAGCCCTGTCGTCCTCCTCCGGCCCCGGCCTCCGGCTGCCCGGCTGGCGGGGCAGACCTGTTCCTCTGGAGCCCGGGTAGACCTGTTGTCCCGCGCACGACCAACCCTCCGGCCGCCTGGCGCCGGGCTAGAGAGGGAAGGAGCCGGCCGTTAGGAGCCGGCGGTGCTCCCGCCTCCTCCTTTGTGCCCAAAGCCACAGCAGCCCGGCTCCTGCCTCCCTTTCTGCATCCCTCGCTTCCTTCAGCCGTCCTGCCCTGGGCTGGGACGGGGCCGGGCCGGGCTGGAGCGCCAAGGAAGGAAGGCCGTCAAAGCAGAAGGCTGGGCGAGAGCTGAAGAGAAGGCTTCTCGGAAAAGGGGCTGCCTCTGCCGCGGGCTCCCGCCTGCCTCGGTGTCGGCCGGCTCCCGGCCCTGCCGCCGCTGCAGACGTGCCAAGCGGCCGAGCAGAGAGTGGGCGGGGGGAGGGAGGGTAAAGGCTGCGGGCGGCGCCGGGGAGTCTGACGGGGCAGGGCGGAGCGCCCCCAAGCGTCGATGGGCAGAGGCGGGGAAAGTCTGCAGGCGGGGCGCCCCCAACCGTCGATGGGCGGGCGTCTGCCACAGACAGGGCAGGGGCAGGGGGCAGGGACAGGGAGAGAGGGC